CGTACATTTCACAATCAAATTACCAAGCTCACACCAATATCAATCTGACACATTATAACAACCAATTTAATTCACACTCCCCACATCAATCCACCGATTCGACATTCATGTCGGCACATTCAAATAATCCAATTCACCCACAAGCGCCACGACAATTCAGTCAGGCATATTTATCTCAGTCAATCACTAAATTAGCCGCACAATTATCGCCACAATAATTCACCAATTAAGCACAATCAGTCTAATTAGCCCACGTCTAATTAAATTCCTAAGCCGGTACTAAATTTCACCCTAAACAAGTCTAAAAATACCCAAAGTACTAGGTAGGGTTTAGGAAGTCACTTACCTAAGTTTGGCCCGGGAAAAGTCGGCTCGGGCCCAAAATGGCCTGGGTGAACAATCTCGGCCGGGCGCGGGCGCGGTGGCCGGCCAATGCGGGCACAATGGCCGATCGGCGTGCCTGGCGCGCGGGCGCGATGGCCGTGCGGCGTGCCAGAGGGCGCACGGGCGAACAGACGGGCGACGCGCCTGGTCGGATGGGCGACACGCCTGGTCGGACGGGCACGGCTCCGAGCGAGCTCGGCCACGGCGCTCGGCCATGGGCACGGCCTTCGGCCACGGGCACAAGCACGGGCACGGGCGCGGGAACGGGCACGGCGACGGGCGCGCGGCTTGGTCGCGTGGGCGGCGAGCCGGCTACGGCTGGGCTGGCTGGCTCGGGCTGGCCGGCTGGCGGGCGGCGGGCGCACCGGCGGCGCGCGGCGACGAGCGGCGGTGGACGGCACGGAACGGACGAGCTCGAGATCGGCGAGCTCCCAGTGCGCGGACAAACGAGCGGCGAAGGCGACGGCCGAGCTCCCGCGGCGGCGAGCTGGACGGCAGAGCGGAGCAAGGCGGCCAGCTGGGTAGCGACGGGCCGAGACAGGCAGTGGCGGCGAGCCGAGCTCGCGCGCTTGGGAAGGAAGGGAGGCGGCGTCGGGGCGGGGCTTCCGGGCGACGCGGCGGCGCGGCGACGGCGCGAGGAAGACGGCGGCGGCGCTCGGCGGTCAGGCGGGCTCGGGCGGTGGTCGGCTGGGCGAGCAGGAGCGGGGCGAAGCAGAACCAGACGCCGGCGAAGAACAAGGAAAAGAAAGAAGAAGAAAGGAGAAGAAGGAAGAGAGAAGGGAGGAGAGAGAAGAAGTGTGTCGGGGGGGGTTGGTCTGCATGGGTATGGGCAGATGGGACGCAAGCAGGGGGGGAAAACGTGCGCGTCCGGCGACCAGAGAGGGAAGAGAGAGGGAAAGAGAGAGAAAGGGAGAGAGAGGGAGAGAGAGAGAGAGAGAGCAGGACAGACGTGATAATGGGGGGGGAGTGCGTGCGCGGGCAGAGGAGAGAGAGGAGAGAAAAAGAGAGAGAAAAATTTAAATGTTCAATCATATAAATAATGCGATTAAACGGCCCATAATAAAAACTGACAACGATTTATCGGTCCAAATTAAACCTCGAATATAATAAGGGACAAAGGCCAAATCAATTAAATCAAACTATAGCGAGGGATGTCTACTAGTCCAAATTTGCACCTGGTCAAAAACTCCCCTTTTTCCATCATTGCTGACAATCTCAACGCTGGCTACGATAATATTGATACCGTCCAATTTATTTCGTCCTGAAACTCCCGAAAATCGACTGCCAAGTTCGAGGTCTAAATAACAGCCAGATTCGATCGAGTGCGATTCTAGCGAAATCTCTAATTTAAAATGATAACCGGGAGTGATCAGTTCCCGGGCGAGATTTTACTATAAGCACATTGACAAATTACGCGTTTTATAAAACCCAAAAATGGGCCGAAATTCGGGATGTCACAAAAAAATACAACATTCATTGTCTTGGATGGAGAGGAGACTAGACTCTATTTATATAGGCTATCAATTGGTGTCTTCCATCAAAGCACATTCCACTTCGTAAGAGTCGTACCTCTTTGGAGGAATAGTAATTTCTCAATAGAATTGCTTCTTTTCATCTTTTACATAGCCAATACGTTTTAGTACTTAAATATTTATTAAACCATTAATTAATAATATCATGTGGGCCACAATTATTTTTACGGAGTGGGCTAAGGTGACTCATGAAGCCATTGCCTCCACTCAGGTTGGATTGTCCAAGTGACAGTTCTCAGTCACAGACCTAAAATTTCTAGGAAAACGAATGATCCAAGAACACGGCAGACTTCTCCGGAAAACAAAAATCTGCAGGATCTCATGGACTGAGGAACAAAAATCTCAGAAAATGTTAAACTTACGTCGAAGTTCTCTAGAATCAGGGGGAGGTTAGTTTGCTAGAGCAGCCAAAGACTATTTTATTTATCTTGAGAAGAACTCTCTAAGTAGCATGTTTGCCGAGTGGATGAATAAATCCAGTCAGTGCAACAACGACTGAAGAGCTAAATGGAGAGGATCTTTTTCGTGATGCTTTGAATTGGATGCATCCCTACTCTGGGAAAACAATTGATGAGGTTAGATCCATTTACTTCCCTTAATTTTGCCAAAGCTGACATTGCATAGAGTTTGTTTTCCTCAGCAATGCAAAAGTTGGATCAACATTTGAGACACGCTCTATCTCTGGTTCGTCTTTCGTCCCTTTTCATATACTTCTTGGTTTTTACTATCTCCCATTAGAAGGTCTTAATTTTCACCAGAGCATATGTATCTTTTACTTATCTGCGAACTTCGGCAGTCTATATATGGAGCAGGTATCGAACCACTTTCTGTTTTTTTCTTTTTGGGTTGGTGGTCGGCCATTTTGGACGATATACTTGGCATTTTGAAGAAACATCCTAAAAGTAGGACCACAAATAATGCTATGAAAGTTGCAGTTACCAAGAATCTACAAGAAAATTCATTAGTATTTTTTCCATCGTTTTGGTCCCACACTGTTCCATAGGTTCAACAAGGAAATGGGCAGGGTTGACCGGCAATGAGGCTAAAACTTTTAATTCCCTTTTGTTTTAAGCTGCTACTTCAGCCAAGACTTTACTTGTCGAAATTGTCCTACTCAATTGATTTGCTTCTCTGGAGTCATGATCTTTTCAGTGTGTCCTTAAAGCCACAGCCTGTCAAAGATGCTTGTGATGGCTTTTCTCCTTGGCTTGTCCGATGAGTTTGCCAAATTGGACCGGAGTTTTATCGGTCAAAAGACAGGTTGTCAACTTTACAAAATAATTTAAGTAGTTCTTTTCATCTCCTCCGTGTGATCGGAGTGTGATCGGGACAATTTATGCGTGCTACAAGGCAGAGAACCATATCCATGTTTCCTTGGTTTGACCCATCTTCTCAACTGTACATAAAGCGAGCTCTTTTCGCACCCTCTGTTGATTAGGCTCCTCTCAACTATTTCTTTCACCTTTGGCAATGGAAGAAGTGAAGTTGCATGGTTTCTGGGCAAGTCCGTACAGTCACAGAGTGATATGGGCTCTGAAACTGAAAGGCGTGGAATATGAGTACATAGAAGAAGATCTCTCCAACAAGAGCCAATTGCTATTGCTGTACAACCCAGTTCACAAAAAGATTCCAGTCCTTGTTCATCGCGGGAAACCGATTATCGAGTCCCTTGTGATTCTGGAGTATATTGAAGAAACATGGCCCGAGCCTCCCTTGCTGGCCAAAGATGCTCACGAGAGAGCCTCATCTCGGTTTTGGATGAACTTTATGGCGGAAAAGGTGAGAGTACACCGTTGTTTCTGTTAGTATTCAACTTTTGCAGCTTCAGCAGTAGATCTCCAAGTAATTGATTGGAAGAAGAAACCTAATCAACCATATTCATTGCAGTTATTGCATTGATTTTGTTTATTTCATGCTATAACAAAAGATCTGTCAGTTTTACAAATTAATGTAGTTTATATCTTTAATGATGGATGACCTCAAGCATACTTAATCCAAGTGGTCTGCTGCCCAAGCAAATTGACATTAATTGCAATTTTTTAATTGCACCGGTTCCTCTCCCTTTTAGTGTTGAAAATTCGTTACATTTCTTGCTGCCTTCCGATTTCGGCGTTGCTCTCCTTTTCTTTGGGAAACTTCTACTCTATTTAACCTGTGAATAACCAAGAACTTCATCTTCTTGCACAATCTGATTGGCAAATACTGATTCCCACTTCTATTACTCTACCCAAATGTTAGTCCACTTAATCAAGATGCCAAATATCTACATAATTGCAAGGATCCTGTGAGATTAGCTAACATCAGATATCTTTTTTTCCTTTTTTTTTCTTTTTCACTCTTGTAGAGTCTTACCTTTTTCAAGTTCTTCCTAATGTCCCAAGGAGAAGAGAGAGAGAAGGCAACTGAGGAAGTGCTTGAAGTCTTGAGGACTTTAGAGCATGAAGCTCTTGCGGACAAGAAGTTCTTTGGAGGAGACAACATAGGACTGGCAGACATCACATTTGGATGGTTGGCTTATTGGTTCGAATGTACAGAGGAAGTCGTTGATGTGAAATTGCTAAGTCCCACCACTTTCCCTCGTTTGCATTTATGGGTTGAGAACTGGAAGGAGGTTGATGTGGTCAAAGAAAACCATCCTGACTCTGAGAAATTATTGGGCCATTTTAGAAGGTCTAGGGAGAGGTTCACTTAGGAAGAGGGAAAATAAAGTCACGGTTAGTATTATGATACTGGGAGAAGTGATTGAACCAATGTGGAAAATACTTGTTGGTCAGGTGAGATCCTCTCATTTGATATGTGACGACAGATTTTTTCGCACTATTGGGCTCAGTATTTAACCTGCTATAATCTTTCTCTTGATTTCATTCCTTCGAAGGAGATTTTCCTGTAAGAACAGATTACTATTGGTGAGTCGATGCCCGACAATTAGGAAATCCCATTCCATATTTGCTCAGGGTGGTTATTTTTTCTCACATGACCGCTGAATATTGGGAGAGAACAAAAAATACAGAAGAACTAGGATGAGGCATCTTAAACTAGGGAAGGTTGGGTGTTGGTGCCCAGAAAGAAAGAAAACGAGCGTCTGAATCTGTTTTCATACTCAGAAAACCGAAAGAGAAGAAAATAGAATTCTGGAAATGCTTATATGCACATCTAACTCAGCATGTTAGTTGCAAAATTCTGTAAGTTTTTACTCGAAGAAGCATCACATTTTCTTCTTGCTATCTTCAGAGATTTCATTCTTACTCTCCTTTATCCGAACTGCTTTTAGGATTAAAAAACCAAACCTGAAGCCATATTTTGGTAATACCAAAACCAAACCAGTAGACCCAGAAGCATCTGCCTCAGTTACAAGTCTCTACAACTATATTAATGCAATTTTTCATTAGACATTGAACTCGAGTGCGCAGCCGTTTCATTCTATAAACTCAAGCTACTTGAAACCCGATAGACAAGTATAAACAAAGGGATACACATTATTAGGCAACAGGAAGTACGACGAATTGAACTCGAGAGAAGAGTAATGCTAGAACTAACTAAAATCGTTTTACAAAGTTGATTTATTAATTGATGTGTAGACTGCAATCGGTTTTTGAATTTGGCCCATTTATTTAAAATGTTGCTCATAATCTGACACACCACGTAATGAACCAAAATTTTCAACCGGTTTAATTAAATTAGCATTGCCCGTACTTTTGATACCATATTGAAATCCAGGCGAAATTCTTTCTTCTAAAGACTTAAGCTATCCAAAGAAATGCGATACCTTCACCTAACAAAAGCTACACCAGGTAACACGTCAATACATGTGGGTTGAAACTTTAAAAATAGCATGATGTCAATACAATCAATCCCGGGCTGGCCCGACTGGCGTGTTTGACCTTTCTTCCAAAGAAATCTAAATGTTTTATCATGTTGGGTTGAAATTTAGGTTGTCCAAAAACAAAAATGAGATATGAATTCGACCTTCTGAGTTTGTTTGACCAGAAACCCGAAACGTAATGCCCAAGCAACGTGACTCCACCAAACGCCCTTTAAATTGAGCTCACAAAAGCAAGAAGTATCACACTCTTGAGAGACATGGATGGAGTGAAGTTGCATGGAGTTTGGGCGAGTCCATTCAGCACCAGAGTCGTATGGGCATTGAAGCTCAAGGGCATACCATTTGACAACATTGAGGAAGACCTCTCCAACAAAAGCGCCTTGCTTTTGCAATACAACCCAGTGCACAAGAAGATTCCCGTGCTCGTCCATGGCCGGCGGCCCGTTTGCGAGTCCATGGTCATCGTCGAGTACCTCGAGGAGACGTGGCCGCAATACCCCCTGTTGCCCACCGATCCTCACGAGCGAGCCGTGGCCCGTTTCTGGGTCAAATTCATCGATGAAAAGGTTTGCTATTCTAACCTTCTTCTACTTTGGCAATTCATCTTTTAGAAAGTCAGTCATTCAATTTATAAGTTCCATTTGTTTCGATACCCAACCCTAAATTGCGGTGGTTGGGTGAGACAAACATAAGGCGGAGTTGGTTTGCATCTCGTTTATGTTTCGAGTGTGCGCGCTGCAGGGTCTTAATGTTTGGATGGTGTATCGGAGTGTCGGCGAAGAGCAAGAGAAGGCCATGAGAGAGAGCCTGGAGATGCTGTCGATCCTAGAGGAGCATGGTCCGAACAAGGGAAAGAAATTCTTTGGAGGAGACAGCATCAACATCGTGGACATTGCATTTGGTGGGGTGGCATATTGGATGGGAGCCATCGAAGAGGTATCGGGAGGCAAGATGTTCGATGCCGTGAAGTTCCCTCGCTTGAACGCTTGGATGGCCGACTTCGAGTGCTTGCCCGTGATTGCCGAGAACTTGCCCGATCAAGGGAAGTTGCGCAAGCACCTCGCCCGCCTAAGAGAGAAAAGGTTGTCATTGTCCGCACACAAATGATGAGCGGCCTCGATGATCGATGTTGTAAGCTTGGGTACTATATAAAAGTACGATTATCAACTGGATTCCTGTCTATGTCTCTTTGTAATAATAAGACTTCCAAGTGAAGTATGTACTTTGGTCGGAAGTTTCAAGTTGAAGCTTACTAATTAGCATATGCAATAAAGTAAAATTCTATTTTCATTTTCTTTTCTTTTTCATTTTATCTGATAAATATTGTTTCAGATTGTAAATGGAATTGATAAGAGTATTCTCATAGGTTTCTTGTGACAAGTGTAAAGCCAAATATTGTATTTACAAAAAAATAATTTATAGACTCATTTTATGAATTTTTATTAGATTGTGTACAATGATTAAGCGCCGAATTTGGAGGGAAGAGAAGAAATTTTAATATGAGGAGCAGATAAGTGTCACTGGCCAAAAGTTTTTCAATTGCAAACAAGGCCGTGCGGTGTTTGGTGAGCCGGAATACTTGATCAGCCTCTCTTCAATAGATCGTTTTTTAAGGACAGTACGATGAATTGCATCCTCATAATTGACCCTACCACGCCCATGATATCCAAGCTCTCAAATAGGATATATAGATCACTTGAGCACAACAATTAATTTTGGCTTATAACTATAATTTTATTTAACGAATTAGGAATACCTTTTTTTATTTACATTTAACCTAAGGATATATAAAGTGCATATGAACAGATGTTACCAAATTTCATCCCTCTCTCTAACATGTAAAAACATGAAGATAATTTGACATATATTTCCATATCCACTAGACTATCTTTCTTTCCTCATCGAAAGAGTCCTTAATGTAAATGACTAAAAACACTGTCGCTTTTTGCAAGAAACGACGCCGTTTTGCCGTGCTGACATGGCTCTTGTACAAGTCCACGGTATTAGACATGTCGACACACAAGTTTGGGTCCCTTAAATGAAGTTTGTTCAATTCCTAAACTATTAAAGTGAGGAAATTTCCATGCAGGATGCGTAACCAAGAACAAAACCCCAACAAAACCAAGTGAGGTTCGTCGATGGTCAGAGGAAAACGTTGACCATCATCTCCCACCAACCCTGTGTTCAGTGCAATTTAGACTATGTATTAGTTTAAGCACGTAGTCAACAGATACCGTCCTGCTGGGCAAGAGCGAATTGTTGAACCAAACCTTCCAACTGTTTGATGAAATGCCTCAACGTCTTGCCCAAGCAATTTGACTCTACGAAGCTTTAATAACTGCCCGTGCATAGCGGCCCAACAAGAAGCAACATCAATCTTCGGACCCTCGAGGCATGGAAGACGTGAAGCTGCACGGTGCTTGGACGAGCCCGTACAGTTACTATGTGATATGGGCTCTGAAGCTCAAGGGCATTCCGTTAGAGTACATCGATGAGGATCTCTCCAACAAGAGTGACTTGCTGTTGCAGTACAATCCGGTGCACAAGAAGATCCCTGTGCTTGTCCATGGTGGAAGGCCCATTTGCGAGTGGCCACAGCATCCTCTAGTGCCAAGTGACACTTATGAGAGAGCTGTGGCGCGGTCCTGGGTCAAATTTGCCCAAGAAAAGGTCTCTCTCTCTCTCTCTCTCTCTCTCTCTCTCTCTCTCTCTCTCTAGTGCGCGTGCGCGTGATCATACAATTTGTGGGTGATAAATAAATTTGATAAAGCTTATGTACCATAAAAGTTATAGACGCTTGGCAGCTGAAATCAAGGGGGTCAATGATTTTTGCAAGCAACAAAAAGCAAGGAGAAAAGGAACAGACACTGTATTGGTTCTGTTAACAATTTGGATACATCAGAAATTAAACAGCCTTATCCTTGAGGGAGTTCTAAGTGTATTTTTTTTTTTTGGTGGAGTTATTTTGTTACGTCTTGAATTTATTTAGCACCCAATTCTGTGTTAGCGTGTAAGTGTACATTATCATCCGGACAGTTTTAATAGGCTAGATTTTTTTGTAATAACATTTCATGAAAACTTATACTTTAACATGCCTATGGCAGGTTCTTGGGTAGACAGACGTTACCTGTCGGTGCATAAAAATCACATTGTCCGTCTCCTTTTTCTGTGAGAAAATTAAAAATTCTGCATGACTTGTGAGTAAGATTGATTTCATACAATTTTGATTATGACTTAAGATGTTTTCTTTCAAGAACTTCTTTCCTTTTCTTTCCCTGTTTAGTAAGTGTAACCTTTGTTTTTTCCTCTCAATGTTTTTACTATGGTCAGGGCCCTAACCTTTCGCTGCTGTATCGAACTGCGGGAGAAGAACAGGAGAAGATCAAGAAGAAATATTATGGAAATGCTGACGATGCTCGAAGATTATGGTCCTGATAAGGGAAAGAAATTCTTTGGAGGCGACAACATCAACATTGTGGACATTGCCTTCGGTAGTGTTGCTCACTGGATGAGGGTCATAGAGGAGGTGTTGGGAGTGAAGCTGTTTGATGCGGAAAAGTTCACGCGCTTGCAATGTTAGATGGAGAGTTACAAGAAAGTGCCAATCATATGTGAGAACTCACCTGATCATGAAAAGCTTTTGGCATGCCTGAAGTGTCGAAGGGAGTCTTTATTTGGAAGTCCATGAAGATCATGGATGAATTCAACTCTGTACTTCTGTTCCTCCATTTACTATCGGTATCACTTTTTTGTTTTACATGATCGTATTTCGTAATGAGTCCAATTGCTTCCTTTATGGGGAAAAACGGTGGGACTTTTTTCTGCTGTGCTGTCATGTTTTCAATTCTACCTTAATTATGTTGTGTTGTAAAGACCTAAATGGGGCAACCAGAGAAGGATAGTGACTGAAGTGATTATATGCTTAATTTACTTCTTTTCTTCTTCGTAGGAATGCATTCGGTATAAACCCAATCGGCAATACACGCTTGTTACCTCTAGAATTTAAGGATCACACATATTTTGCTGCTACTGGCTGGAATTCCATGATTGTCTCTTTATTCTAAGAATCTATCGCTTGTGATCAGACCTCAGTCTATGGCTTTACCTGGGATGAGTGGGATGAGGCGATTCATGTAAGTCATTCCCTCCACTCAGTTTAGAATGTCCAAGTGACGGTCCTCAGTCACAGGCCTAAGTTTCTAGGAAAACAAATGATCCAAGAATATGGCGGGCTTCTCAGGAAAATGGAAAGGTTAGTTTGCTAGAGCAGCCAAAGACTGTTTTTCTGGAGAAGAACTCCCTAAGCACCATGTTTGCTGAGTGGATGAATAAATCCAGCTAGAGCAACAAGGACGGAAGAGCTGAACGGAGAGGATCGCATTCGTGATGCTTTGAATTGGAGATCCGTTTACTGTCCTTTTGAAAGAAACACAAGAGAGGCTATATACTTGCTTTGATTTGCATGTAATTTTTTTTTTGTGTACTCGCCCTTCTTTTTTTCAACTCTTTCTCTCCTCTCTTTTAATTTATTGTTGCCTTTTCTTTCTTCTTGTCCATCTTCTCCAAATCCCTCCCTCCATCGATTTTTCTTACACTTGCATAAGCAAGTGAGGGCACAAAAGGACGTCTTCACACGTTGGCACCATAGAAAACATATACAACCATCTTTATTTCATCCAAAAGGAAGCTTACAATAACATCTTAACCATAACCAAATGTCGAAATATTAGAAACCTTTCAAGCACAAATTTCTTCAGTGCTGTAGATTTTAGGATTTCCTATTTTCGCATGGATTATCACGTAAACACGCACCGGTAGGTACTATAGACCACACACAAGTAGTGCATCGTTCAAAATCTCTTGGCTAATGATATGTTTCAAAATAGTCAGACTCCCTATGCCATTGCATGTTGCAAAAGAATAGAGTGCCACCAAAAAATCGGGGATTGAAAGCTAAAATTCCAGAAGGCACCAGGATTGATCTGATGAATGCCAAGATCGTCTTGTTTAGATTTACAATGAACCGTAAGCACCGCTCCTTCCGGTAAATTGTTGAAAATTTGGACTTCAGTTTTATGGAAAGCATCGATGGAGCTAGGTTGTTGGAAGACAAGAGTGATCATGAACACCATGAACACTGTGTTTTTCTTAAACACATACATTTTCGTCAACTGTGTTTTTCTTTGGGAACATGAACACAGTCAAGTATGGTGGAGAAACCTATTTAAGGATGATTAAAGCTTCATTTGGTAAGAAATGCATCCGTACAAATATGAAGGTCACTTATGTATAGTCTGGGAAAATCTAGTAATGTATTTATTAAGATATCTATTCTTGTAACTTAATAATCTTCGAGTCTATTTTTTTTCTATATATACATACATCTATACTTATATGTAGAAATTAGATGCAATCCATTTATCAACATATTTACACTTGTATCTTTTTTTTTCTTTATACATCTATACTAATACCTAGAAAGTAGATGTAATGTATTTATTAAAATATCCATACTTGTATCTTTTTTCTTTCGCATTGATATTTCTTTCTATTTATTGTTGACACTTGAATTTTAGTCGATAATTCAAATTTTTATTCTTGTAAAAATACAAAAAAAAAATGAATGTTTGAAATAGTAATGAGTCTAATGACTCATCAATTAGGACCAACACATCCCATTTACATAGTCTAATTCACCTAAGCCATGTCTCAGCTGAAGGTCTTCAGTCGCAGCCCATGCTCCGAACTTAGCCTCATAAATTCAAGTCCATCACTTGAAATTGACTGATTCAAGCCCATAAAAAAATAAAGACCCATAGAGGAAGAAAAATCAAAACTTTGAATGACTAGTTTATAGGGCGTGCAATCGAGCCGGTTTTGTCCAAGAATCAAACTGACCCAAATAAGTTGGCTCCAAATTGGTTCACACAAGGTCAGTTTAGTTCTTGAGTAAAAAATTTAGAAACCGGTATTGATCAGATTAGGGTTCAATTCTCGGTTCTTAAGTAGAATCGATTTCAAGACCGATTCTCGAGTGGAACCGATTTTACACTAGCTGAAAACCAAAACGTAAAACCCTAAGACTCTTCACTTTCATTGTCTCATTCAAATAAAAATAGGAGATCCAACTTCTCGTCGTCAGATTTTGTCATTGTGGGGTTTTAAAAGAAGCATGGGAATCAGAAGCTGGTGGTTGTGTTATTATCAGGACACCAAAAAGGGCCAAAATTAGTCTAGTTCAGTCCATTCTTAAATAAGCAACAAAGATCACTTGGTAAATAGGTCAAACA